TGACGGCATGATGCCCGTCGTCCTACGCCTCTCAGGCTACACGCTCATACTGGTTTGCTTCTACGGGCTGAGTTCCATGGGGTTTATTGGCCCAAATTTACTTCGATACCAGCGCCTAGGCGCTTTTTTGTGCAGCCTCCAGCTGCCCTGGGTGGTCATCGGGGACTTCAACATCTCTGCGGGAGCCATGCAGCAGTAAGAGTTTCTTGGTCGTGTAGGTGGGCACCTCCTGGCACCTGCTGTCCAGTGCGCGTGCGACGCGGGCGTGCACGGCAACATCTTGGACTACGTGCTCTGCAGTTCGGCTGCGATACCCTACGTGCTCCAGGTGAGGCCTGTGATGTCCACTGGCTGGAAGACGCGCCTGGGGATCGCGCTGGACCTCCGCCAGTCGGGCCGCCAGCTCCTGACCAGGACTCTCGGGCTGGCGCCCAAGCTGCCCCAGCTGGCGAGGCCAGGCAAGGAGCCCGCGCCAGGGTCCAAGTCCAGCCTAGCTCGAGCGCAGCGCAACCTCGCTCGCCAGGAGGCCGCAGGAAAAAGGAATTCCAAATACATTCAGTTGTTCGGAGCCTCTCTTAGTGATGCAAGCTCCTCGGGCCCACAGATTTCGCATGCAGGCGAATCCACTGACGTTGGCGACGAGATTGATGTTGCGTCCCTCTGTTCTGAAGAGGATCCGTGGGCTGATGAGTTTAATTTCACCCCTTCTGAGTCTCGTGGAGACGCTAGCACCTCAAGTTTCACAGGGCCCAGTCTTGGTACCGAGGCGGCCTCTCCTGCGGCGCGTCCTGAGGACCCTCTGGGGTCCTCGCGGGCGGTGGGTGCCGGTTTGGGGGTGGCCCCGGGGGTGCCTCTTGGGTCTGCTGCGGCTGTGGCCACTGGGTCGTCTGTGGGTGTGGGCACCAGCCTTGGGGGGGCGTCGTTGGGGACCCCTCGTCGCACCGAGACTGACACGGCCCTCCAGTCCTCCCAGTCACCCAGCCGCAGTACACAGTCAGCCATGCCCTCTTATAGTATACCATCTTCTCTTTGGGAGGCCCATCGGGCCCGAGTAGCTTTTGCCAGCTTTTCCCCCTCTTCTCTCCCTCCCTACATCGAGAAGTCCGCGGTCTACCAGATCGACCCCATAGGTTGCCAGCTCCTCAGCGGGCTGCACGCGTCTTGGGTCGGGACCATGGAGGCCACCATCTTGGAGCACCACAATGAGGACCCCACCCCGAAGGTTTCCCGCATGTCGGTCCCCAAGTTCGAGGTTCACGAAGTTCATGGAAATTCCAAGTATCGTGAGGCCCCCCTGAGAGACATCGTAGCGAACTGGTGGACACGTTTGCACATTGTCCTGGGGCGCCTACACACACATCGTTCCCGTCGCAACGGACAGAGGACAGTTGTTGGAGCGTGCTTGTCGGGACCTCGTTGACGACCATCCTGAGCAGACCCACACCATCATTCGTGAAGGTCTCGAGCTCAGCTGGTCTGAATGGTTGGCAGCCCTCCGCAGTGTCGATGCGCTTCCAGTGGCGAGGATCGCATCTCTGAACATTCTTTCGCACCGTCTGGCCGTGCGAAGTCAGCGCAGGGCGACGGCCTCATCGCTCAAGGAGTTCCGCGAGTGGGCGAGCACCACTCCAGCTCTTGGTGCGTTACATCGTTCTGCGCGTCAGGATCCCCTGCCTCCGCTCGAAATCATGAATGAGCAGGGTGCGGCTTTGCACCGCCCCAAGGACATCCTGGACTGGAAGTCTCGGAGCTGGAGGGCCTTATGGGCCCCTGAGGTTTTGGCTCCTGAGGCGACCCTCAGGGGAGTTCTTGGAGTTTTTCGTGATGCTGTAAGAGACAATCCTGAGCCCCTTCCTCCTCTTAGTGTTCATGATCTACGGGTTGCTCTTCGGGGAATGAAGAGTAAAACTGGTCTGGGGGTGGATCGTATATCTCCTGGGGATCTGGAACGGCTTCCAGACGTGGGGCTCCAGGGGCTCGCCGGCCTCCTCAATTGCGCTGAGAGCATCCTCATGTGGCCCGCCCAGGCCCTCCTTGTCATCGGGAAATTGCTCCCGAAGAAAGCCTCGGGGGACCGCGTCATAGGTCTCATCGCGATGATCGGACGGGTTTGGAGCAAAGCCCGTGAGCCCTGGGTCCAACCGTGGGAACTCTCCGCTGCAGGAGGCTTTCCGTCGGCTTCTGGACGAGGAGACAGCAGCCGTGCTCGGGACCCCGTATGCGCACAGCTTGGTTGATCTTGAGCTATATTGTGACACGATGTTCTGGCTCAAACTTGTGCGTGCTGCAGCCCGTTTGGGATTCCCTCCGACGGTTCTCTACCTTGAGATACTTCAATGTGCTTGTCCACGTACACTGAATCAGATTTCAACCTTTTCAGAACTTATAGAGGTTACCAGGTCCATCGTGCAGGGTCTCAGAGGAGGGACCAGATCTGCACGTATCATGACTTTCTTCGTGATGAAGAAGATTTGCACGGCACATCCCAGGTTCAGTCATCGTCTCTGGCTCGATGATCTTTCCCAGTCAATCAAGGGTTCTCATCGCCAGATCAGGA